GGCAGGTGCTGAGGCTCCGCGGGCTGGAGCTAGGGCTCGCTTCCAGCGCTTCCTTGTCCCTCTGTGGGCTCAAGCCAGGAGCACGGGGCTGGGGGGTGCGGGTTTGGATTTGCTGGGGGGATGCAGGGTTCCCTGCTCCCTCTGCAGCCTGGGGGTGCTGCTGGGGTTGGCCCTGCCTCCCCTGCTCCCCCTTCCCTGCCCAGCTGGCTGCAATGCTTGTGCTCGTTTTTATCAGCCAAGGAGAAGCTGCTTCCAGGTCCCCTCTGCCCCTAGGGTTGGGAAGTGGCTCAGAGTGGAGACCTTCTGGTAGCCCTCACTCCTGGGGTTCTGGGGTCTTGCTGCAAGTCTCCCTGTGAACTGCTTTGGTGGCACCTTCTTCTTCCTGCTGGAAGCACCCTTAAACCTTTGCCTGGCTAGCGTTCTGCTTTAGGTTCTGTTGTTTGTTAGATGGCGTTTTGCTCCTGTTTCCCCCAGGCCTCTCTTCCTGGACACTTCAGGGATCTGGTGGCAGGACTCCCCGTCCCTGGCAGCAGTGGAGACGTCCTGGGACGTGACGAAGATGGCGGCTCCGCAGAAGGCTGCGGGTGATGACTCGGACATGAGCCACCTGGAAGGGGACAGCGCGGAGGAGCTGGCTGTGCTGGACCCAGTGAGTGCCTGCCTGGCTGAGCGTGGAATCCTTTTTCCCTGTTTCTCTAAGGGGTCTTTTCTCCCCAGTGGAGCTGGGAGCTGAATTCCCCTTCTGTGGGATGCACCCTTGTCCCCAGCAGCCAGCCCATCCTTGTCCCCAGCCTGGACGGCACTGCTGGTGGAAGGGCATGGTGTGCAACAGTGCAATGCCCCAGCCCAGGGTGTGGAACGGGAGGTGTGTGGGGTCCCTGCTCCGTCTGTTGCTCACACAAATCCTGGTTTGGGTTTCAGGAGCTGGAGGCCATCAAAGCCAGAGTGCAGGAGATGGAGAAAGAGGATGAGAGGCTGAAGGAGTTGCAGCTGGAAGCTGAGAGCCACCTCATCATGAGCTCGGAGGCAGGTATGGGCTCTCCCTGGGGTCTGCTTTCCCCCCCAGGACACGTCTGGGGTGTAGGGTGGCAGTCGGAGCCAGAGCACATGGCTCTGCCTCTCCTGGCAGCCTGGCACTGAACATGTGAGGTGGGTGAGGGATGGGGACCCTAATGCAGGTGGTATCCACTTACCTGTGCAGGCCAAGATGCAGTAAATTAAATTTAATTCAGTTAAGTAATTGAGTTTAGTACCAGCAGGCTCAGTAAAGCAGTCACACTGGTATTTTGGGGTGATTTTGTGAAGAGAGAGGAGGCAAGGAGATAGAGGGGTTGGCAGCAGTGTAGGGATTTGGGTATGCCCAGACATGGCCGGGGACCTGGGGAGCTCTGCAGCTTGGTGGCAGCTGTGCTGGGAGCAGACCTGCGCAGACAGACATCCCTCTGGTAGCGGGCTTCTGCGGCTCCATCCAGGATGACCCTTTGTGTCTGCAGGTCTCTTCCCAAAGACGCCTGAGGAGAAGATGGAGGTTGACCGCCGATCTATCTACGTGGGCAACGTAAGTGGGAGACCCTGGAGCAGAGCCCACCTTGCTGCTCCTTGCCCAGCTGGACATATGCCCAAGATCCCTAGCATGGGGACCCATCCACCTCCCACCAAAAGCTGGGTGATCCCATCCCGAATGTTCTCTGCCCAGCCCATAGTGGGAATGTGGCTCAGCATCTGCCTGTGATCCCCAGCCACATGCAGCTCATCTGTTGCACGGGTCAGCTCCCCAAAATACCCCGCTGAAGCTCTGGGTTGTGCAGCATTGCTTGTTCCCTCAAAGCTGAGGGCAGGGCTGTCTCTTGGATTTGGGTATCCAGGCTGGAGCGTTCGGCTGGAAGGGTCTCCTGAGCCTGGGGAGGTGGTGAGGCTGTAGTGGCGAGGTGTGAGTGGGGTCAGCCGGGCAGCGTGCCTCCTGTGGTGGTGTGGAATGCAGACCCGTGAGCGGGGGGAAGCTGGCTGGTGGGGCTGGAGGGACTGGGACTGTCGTTGCAGGTGGACTACGGGGGCACGGCGGAGGAGCTGGAGTCTCACTTCAACTGCTGCGGGCACATCAACCGAGTGACCATCCTCTGCGACAAGTTCTCGGGGCATCCCAAAGGGTCAGTGCTGTGCACAGGAGTTGGGGTTGCGGTGTGGAGGGTGCTGCCCTGTGCTGCCCAGCCTTTGGGAGCAGTGGGGTGTCCCTGGAGCTCTGATCGCCCCATCCTCTCGCAGGTATGCCTACATCGAATTTGAAGAGAAGAGCTCCGTGAAGGCTGCGGTGGAGCTGGATGAGAGTGTGTTCAGGGGCCGGGTCATTAAGGCAAGAGCTGGCTGAGGCCCTGGGGTGGTGCATCCATCCATCCCAGCCCCAGATACATGGGGTTGTGCCAAACCCTGGCTGAGCCACCCCTGCTTTTCAGGTGCTGCCCAAGAGGACCAACATGCCGGGCATCAGCACCACCGACCGCGGGGGCTACCGGGGCCGCTTCCAAGCCTGGGGAGGGCTGGCCCAGCGCGGAGGCTACTACAGAGGGCAACACCCCAGGATGCGAGGGAGGACATACAGGTGAGCGGCTGGGCTGGGGGCGCGTTTGTTGCATTTTTGGAACAAGGTCCCTGTGGAGCAGGGGGTCCCCAGCATGGGGGTAGCTGCTCCTTGCTCCGGCTGTGCTCAGCTTCTCGGCTTTGCACCTGGCGTGGTCAGGAGGATGGAGAAGGGCTCTGGCAGGAGCTCCCCCAGCTCTTGGAGGGGTGGAGGAGCAGGTGGCTGTGCTTTTTGGCACAGCTGATGTGTCAGCTGAGCGATGCCCCGGTGCTTTAGGATGCTGGTTTTGTTCTTGTTTAGGGGTCGGCAAAGGCTGCTGCCTTGGTATTTTCCGTACTAGAAAGAACTGGACTGCCCTGGTGATGCCGATGAGACTGAAAGGAGGAGATGGGATTGGAAAGATTTAAAAATATGCCTACCCGAGCCAAAAAAAGATTAATTTTAAAATGCCATCTGCCTGGCTGTGAGGATTACTGGTGAAGCAGCTGGAGTGCTGGGCTGCAGGAGGGAAGACAGGATCTGCTCCACCCACACATCGGCCAGATCCCTGCCCGTGTCCCAGGAGGGGCTCACCTTAGCTTTGCTCAGGGGATTTACCTTTTCATTGAAAACAGCCTCATTCCAGAGAACACCCTGTCCTGGGAAGGGAAGAGCTTTCCCAGACCATCAGGTCTCATCCTCATCCCATAGAAAAGGGCTGTACTGGAGGGTTTGGTGTAAATCCAGGTTGGCTTTTGCCTGTCCGCATGCCCTCCACCCCCACCACGAGGGCAGACCTGTCCTGCTCGGCCTGTGACACACAGCTTTGCTGGCTCTTTCTCCAGGGGCTGGATATTGCCCTTAAGAAGATCCTAAAGACCTTTCCAAGGACTGTTTTCTTCTTCAAATCAATGGAGAAAAGTCTTGGGTTGGAGCACCAGGTCTCACTGCTGGGGAGCTTTTCCTTAACTCCATCAGCCTCGAGGATTTCTGACCTTGCTCTTGAGAAGAGGATGGAGCCTAACGATGTGTTTCGGGTCTGTTTTTTAGCTCACTGCTGCTGTACATCTACCAACCAGGGGAGGGAAAAGGCATCCCTCGCTGTTTCTCTGGAAGCTTCCAGTATCTCCACGGTGGTCAAACAAGACCTGGGTGACACAAAACCCCTTCCCTCCTTTTATTTCAGAAGTCAACCACCTCCTCGTCCCCCCTTCTGCTTTTATTCCAAAGCTATGGGGATCAAAAGGTGCTGCCAGCTCATTTCACTTTATTTCTTACAGCAGCAGTATTACAAAGTCATCTCCGCTGTTGCAGAATTTGGTCTGATCTTCCTCTTTTACTC